GAGCAGCAAAGCTATCGAAAACCAGACAATCGAGGATACAACCGACGATGCGGAAATCACGACGAGGATGGCCAACAGGCGCAATGCCCGAGCGGCGATGGGAGGATGACCGTCAGTGGAGAAAGAGGGACAGGTGGACGACGACGCGTCGCGACTTGCAAAACAGGAACCGATGAAGCAGCAAACGAAGCTCCTCAGAGCAGTCCTAGTTAAGCTCCAGTTACTGACGGAACTGATTGAAGAGCTTCAAGACGAAAACCGAGAACTTAGAGGGACCTTCTTACGATTAAAGAGGAACTACATACGGCCACGGAACAAATGGCAGAACAAGGCCAGAGCGCACGCGGAAGCGATCGCATCGATGGTTACAGGGCAGCATAGGTCCGGGCCATCCTACGCAGACATTGCCCGAGTGCCACCGACCAGCCAACTCAACAATGCGGGCCCGGGTCCCACGACAACACCACCGGTTCCAGCAGACGTGGTCTTCTGCACAATCGACACGTCAAGGATCGAGGACGAACAAGATGAACAACTCACATCGGGCGCTGTTCGTACCCTCACGGAAGACGAGGTTAGGGTGGACTATAGGCAATCCAATTGGCGTTGCCTGGCCGTGACTAAAGACTCGAAGAAGCCTCAAATCAGAATTGCCTGCAGCAGCGAGCAGGAACACACCATGGTGAAGCGACTGGTGGAAGCCAAGCTGCCTCGAGGAGCTCGGATGCTGCAAGACGAACTCTATCCTGTAAAAGTCGACTACGTGAGCCGCACGGTGGTCTTGGATGAGGCGAATAACATCCGTAGTGGAGCCGCTGAGGAGATTGGCAAAGGAAACGACGTTCAAGTTGCGAAAGTAGGCTGGCTAAGCAACAGGGACGTTCCGAAGGCATACGGCTCAATATTTATTTACCTTGCGAGAAGGGCGGACGCGGAAAGGCTACTCGCGGAGGGTTACGCTTATGCGGGAGGACAATCTGGGAGGACCAAGGTCCTCGAACCCCGTCCGCGTCTCGACCAGTGCTACAACTGTCAACAGCTTGGCCGCGGCCACAAAGCTCACCAGTGCGACCAGCCCCAGGTGTGCGGGAAATGCGCAGGAGCGTCATCACCATAGTGCTTGCACTGAGACTATACTAAAGTGTGTTCCCTGCGGAGGTCCTCATGCATCATTCAGCAGAAACTGCAGGAAGCTCTACCCTTCTTTGAATGAGTAGCACGCTTCGAATAATTCAACTAAATGTGCGAAAACGCGGCGAAGTTCACGAGAGCCTTATGAACGACGAGGACATCAGGACGCAGCGGTGTTGGTCATTCAGGAACCACAGGCACGGATGATCAAGGGACGTTTATTGACGACTCCGATGGGACATCACAGCTGGACGAAGATAGTCCCACCAACGACTGGGGAAGGACGATGGGCGATCCGAAGTATGCTTTGGATAAGGAAGGATTTGGAGGCTGAACAGGTGCTGGTAGAGTCTTCGGACATGACAGCAGCATTGTTGCGGCTCCCAGAGAGACTGGTACTGGTGGTCTCCGTGTACGTGCAGGGTATGGACGGCCAGGCGTTACGGGAAGCGTGCAACACCATACGTAGTGTGGTCGCCGACGCCAGGAGAGCCGCAGGAGAGGTGGTGGACGTGGTCATTGCTGGCGACTTCAATCGCCACGACCAACTATGGGGAGGAGACGGCGTGTCTCCGGTACGACAGGGTGAAGCGGACGACATCATTGATCTGATGAACGAGCTTTCCCTTTGCAGCATGCTTGCAAGAGGGACGAAAACATGGCAAGGCGGGGACGACGAATCGACAATCGACCTCGTCCTTACCTCCGAGGATTTGGCCACTTCGGTGGTCAAGTGCATGGTACACGGGACAGACCACGGGTCGGACCATCGCGCGATTGAGACGGTCTTTGGCGTATCGGTGCCGACTCCGAAGCCGCAGGATCGGCTTCTATTCAAGAACCCTCCGTGGAAGGAGATCAACACTCGGATCATGGTAACACTAGAGACGGCCCCGTCAGAAGGGACAGTACAAGAGATGACCGATCGACCCATGGCGGTAGTACTGGAGGCGATACACGCTCTAGGTACTGAAGGCCAAACCAGCTCCTTCACGCCGAAGCGGGGGGTGGACTTCAGACTTTGACCCCACTTTCCGACGGATCCCCCCGTTCTGGAGGAAACGGGGCCGACGGCGGCCCGACGGAGAGGACGAATTAGCACCGAGCTTGAAGACTGGGCGAAAGGGGCTGCGAAGCAGTATCACGATGCCATCGGACAACAGAAGAAGACGCACTGGAGTGACTTTCTGGCAGACAACGATAACATCTGGAAAGCTGCGAAGTATCTGAAGTCGGGCGACGAGACAGCGTTCGGCAAGGTCCCACAGCTAACGCGCGCCGATGGCACGCACACCACCAACGGCTCAGAGCAGGCCGAAGAACTTCTGACCGTCTTCTTCCCTCCGCTACCAGCAGTCATCGAGGAAGAAGGAGAGAGACCCCAGCGCGGTTCACCTGTCACCATGCCGGACATCACCATGGAAGAAGTGGAGCGGCGATTGTTTGCTACGAAGTCGTGGAAAGCGCCAGGCGAAGACGGACTGCCCGCTATGGTCTGGAAACAGGTATGGCCGGCAGTCAGCAACAGGGTCCTGGATATATTTCGTGCATCGCAGGAGGAAGGCGTGCTGCCCAGTCAGTGGAGGCACGCCAAGATCATACCACTCAAGAAACCGGGCAAGGAAGACTACACGATCGCGAAAGCTTGGAGGCCCATCTCGCTTCTCGCCACTCTCGGTAAGGTGCTGGAGTCTGTCGTCGCGGAGAGGATATCCCACGCTGTCGAAACTCATGGGTTGTTACCCACGAACCATTTCGGAGCTCGCAAACAGAGGTCAGCGGAACAAGCGCTGGTGCTGCTGCAAGAACAAATCTACGCCGCATGGAGGAATCGGTGGGTGGTCAGCCTCGTGAGCTTCGACGTGAAGGGAGCGTACAATGGGGTATGCAAAGAGAGACTGATCCAGAGAATGAGGGCGCGGGGCATCCCAGAGAGCCTGCTCTGCTGGGTAGAAGCATTCTGCTCTGACCGGACAGCCACAATCCAGGTCAACGGCCAAACGTCAGAGGTCCGCACTTTGCCTCAGGCCGGACTACCACAAGGATCGCCTCTGTCACCGATCCTCTTCCTGTTCTTCAATGCGGACCTGGTGCAGCGAAAGATCGATTGCTACGGTGGGGCCATAGCCTTCGTCGACGATTTCACGGCCTGGGTCGCTGGCCCAACCACGCAAGACAACCGCACATGGATTAAAACGATCATCGAAGAGGCGTTGGCCTGGGAAAGGAGAAGTGGTGCGACATTCGAAGCAGACAAGACAGTGGTCATACACTTTACCCGGTGGGCCAAACGGGCCGATTCGGAGCCTTTCACCATCAAAGGGCAGACGGTCGAACCCAAGCAGCATGTCAAGATCCTCGGAGTGATCATGGACATTGGACTCAGGTACAAGGAACATATTGCAAGAGCGGCGACCAAGGGACTGGAGGCCGCGATGGAGCTGAAACGACTGAGAGGCTTGACCCCGGCGACGGCACGGCAGCTATTCACGGCCACAGTAGCTCCGGTGGTGGATTATGCCTCCAACGTCTGGAGGCACCGATGCAAGGATCGGGTTGCAGCAGCAGTCAATCGTGTCCAAAAGGTCGGAGCGCAGGCGATCATAGGAGCGTTCACAACGGTGGCCACAAGCGTAGCTGAAGCAGAAGCCCATATCG